CTTCGAGGGTCTCCCTCTGGGATTGACACTTATCCAAATTGCTGATCCGTTTCTCCCGGTTGGAGGCTTCCCTTAGTTCCATTTTAGCACCCTCTACATCCTTTAGGTACACAACAACGGTTTTATCAGTCGTGGCCTTCGTCATCTCGACCTCGGCCTTGGCTTCAGCAACCTCGGCCCCGGTTGTGGCAAGTTTGGCCTCAAGCTCATCGATCCTCTTGGCCTGAGCCAGATTTTTCACTTTGACACCCCGGAGCTGGGTCTCAGCCGAGGCCAGTTGGGCTAGAGCGGCCTATTCTCAGCAGCAAGCCGATCCATATTTTCCTTCCACTAGTTGCAGTTAACCTTAACTTGATCGACCTCCCCTCGAAGCTGCCCAATCATCTCCAGTTTTTGCTGCAGCTGAGATACTGAAGTGTTAGCCTCCACAGTTGGGTCAAGTAGACCATGCTCTTGCAAAATGATGGTTACCTGCTTGTCCAGCTCGGCCTCATTTTGACGAGCTTTGGCCAAGTCTGCCCGAAGGTCCTTGAGCTCCTCCTCCTTTTTCTTTCAAAGGAGCCTCAGGGCCTTCCCTTATGCCGAAGACTTCTTGAGCCCGGCCTCACATTGGCTCAGCTCGGCCCTGAACCTGATAATGGCCTACGCAAAAAAAAGAGATATCAGTTAGGGTAAGGGAAGGAGAAGGAATTGCAGCAATAAGAGTTAATGCTTACCTGAGCAAAAAGACGACGAGCCTCTTCGAAGAGGGTGGATGAGTCGTTGAGATCGGCGGCATCATCGAACCCAGTAAAGCAATCCCGGAAAGGATCTTCTTCACCGGGGACTCCGCTCGGGTCAGGCGTTTGAAGAGCTTGAGCTTCCCTTATTGCCTCCTCAGAATAAGTTGGTAGAGGAGGAGAGTGACCTATTGTCATGGCCCCGAGTATGTCGCTCGGGGCGTTCTGTTCAGATCCAGGTATCTCGGTAATTGTCCCCTTTGGCGTGCTCGTTGGAGGTGGAGGAACAATCTCGACCTTAGGTGATTCGGGGGCTTTGCCTACGTCTTTCTTCGGAGCCTCCTCACCACGAGGCAGGTTCTCCGGTTCGGAGGGCTTGACGGCGTCGACTTGCTTCCTGACTCAGGTCACCAGCATCGATTCTTCGCCCTCGTCTTCTTCTTCATCGTTTAGTTGATGGATTGAGTCTATGTCTACATGGATGAGTTTCCTCCTCAACCTTTGAGTAGGAGCCTTTATGTCTTGGGGGTGTTCGGGTTTCAAAGACCTTTTCCTCTTGTTATCTTTCTCCGATTTTGGAATCAGGGACTCGGTCTCTTCCCCGGGCGGGGCTGACCTCATTTCGGAAGCATCTCCAATACCTACATAAATAAACATGCATGAGTAAGGTGACATATCCGGTAAAGGGGAAAGCGTCAAAAACTTGGGAGAAGGACTTACCGTGGTGTTTGGCCTCCCATTTGCCTTTCGACAAGTCACGCCATTTGCGCTTATCATACGAGAAGGTCGCGGCTAATTTCCGAACCCAATCTTCGAGGTCGTGGATCGCATGGGGCATCCAAGAGATCGCTGCAAAAAAGGTAAAGGCACCACACAATGCAAAAACGAAATATAGGAAGACACTGGGGAAATGACTTCATTTACGATCAGGGTTCCATTTCTCTGGGAACGATATTTTACCCTCGGGGATAACGTCCGAGGTCCTCACTCGCAGGAACCGGCTCATCCAGCCCCGGTCCTTATCATCGTCATTGCTAGTGAAGAAGGCCTTGCTTGATCAGCGTTGGATCTTGATCAGCCCTCGGAAAATCTGAGGCCGATACAATCTGATGAGGTGGTTGAGGGTGAACTCTAGCCCCTCGGCCTTGCTAGAGAAGTAACGAAGCATCGTCACTATACGCCAGAAAGAAGGATGGACCTGGCCGAGGGTGACTTGGTATCTTTTGCAGAAGTTGATCACTACTGGATCGAGGGGACCCAGTGTGAAGGGGTAAGTGTAAACACTTAGAAACCCCTCCACATGAGTAGTAATGCTCTTCGCGGGGTCGGGGATCTGTACCAAGACCTCGTCCCCCCAACCACATTCTTTCTTCTTGGCCTTGATATGCTTCTCCGTTATCAGGCAAACATACCTCGATACGTCCTCGCATTGACCAGGAATTGCGGGGGGATTTTCAACTCTGAAATCTTTCTTTATGACGCAGGGACCGGGAATGATCACATGAAGAGTCGGCGCTTTATCACTGGCCGGCCAGGAAGAGGAGGAGGAAGCCTTCTATTTCTGAGGAACTGTTTTAGAGGTTTTCGCCATTGATTCAAACTAAAGGAAGTGGAGATAGACGGAGTTTTATGTTCTCTAGCACTAAAAGAATGAGAATAACGGGTAATGAGAGAGAAGTGATGAAGAAAGGGAGATATAAAAGGGGTTTGGAGGTGGAATGAAGATTGAAGTAAAGTTTTTCTAAAAATTGAACCTTGTACCACCACTGGTGAAGCATTTAATATTTTGGGAAAGTGAACCGACGGAACGTTTCAGTCACCTCGAGCGCCTACGTCACGAGAATGACATCATCATCAAGGACTCCAGAGAATCGAGGCTCAAGTCGTTTCTTATCATTTTATTCTAAGAAACGCGAGAACTATCTGTATACGGTCAAAATTATGTGTCCCCGATTTTGTAGGCTCGAGGGATCGCATCGAGGACAAGTTCAATATGAACCGAGCTCGAGCTCGAAGGCAAAATACGAGACTCGAAGATCTAAGTGCTCGAGGAACATCGGAGCCGAGTATGGCCAACCTCGAGATAATACCGTTATGGTTTTATAACAGAAAGAGCGAGATTCTCGCGATGGCTCCAGGATCATGGCGTAAATTCCGGAATAGATTTGTACGAGTTAGTACGGATTTGTGCTAGGCGGTTAGACAGCTATCCCAATAATATTCCTTACTGTAAATAGAAATGTACCTTATTTAGGGTTCCCCTACTATATAAAGGGGATACCAATCATTTGTAACGATGATCAATCATTGGCAATAGAATATACTCTCTTACTTTCTTGCTCATTACTCATCAGAACTGTCTCTCAACTTTATTGCTTTTACTTTACAGTTCTTGCTGACCAACCTCGAGGCCATCATAGCTCGAGGTCAAGACTTGTTTAAGCACTGGTTTAATTCAACTTACTTCTTTAATTTATACGTTTAATTCCTTGGTTATTAATTAGTATTGAATTTGATCACGTATCTTTAAAACTATAAACAAGTTTAATTGTTACTCGTATTTCAAGGTAAACAGACTTATTTCATATAACCTAAGCCAGAATTAAATTGGATAAAAATAAGTAAACATACCATTTGGTTGAAGTCTCCGATGACTAAAGGACTCATAAATGGGATTTTTTCATTCCTATACACTATTTGAAACTTATTACCCTTAATGTCCATGTTTAGTTAATTACCCGGCATAAACAAGTTTTGTTTACAAAATATATACAATCCACCTTAAAAGGCTCCCAAATCCATTATTTGTGCCTTCAATCAAGAAATTTAGTTACACCCTATTCCTTTTTTTTTTCTCTTCTCTCCCATTTCTCTCTAGATCTTCCATTATTTGTCTGAAACAAAGCTTGACTTGTATGTACATCTTTTGTACTTTCTGCAGCTTGACTTGTATGTACTCCATAACGGGTTTGAGAGAATGAGAGTCAAATCTCTTGATTTTTGCGTGAATGCTGACATAAAATCTTCAATTCTTTTTGAAATAAAGCTTACGACATATTTAGAAACTACATAAATAGTATTATAACTCATATAGAGTATTAATTAATAATTCAAAATAATTTTAAAAAAATCACGGTAAAAAATATTTTGACTCTCCAAATAGTAATAGTGCCACATAAAGTGGTACTGAGTGAGCATATATTTTATTTTCTCAACCTCTTATGAGTCCAGTTCTGATTCAGTTTTTCAATCATACAATTACTATATGTGTGCTTTGAAGTATAAATTTTTTGTTATTTGTAAATACTTTTTCTGAAACACATATAGGATTCGAGCTGAAATATTAAGCTTTCCTGATTTTTATGTTTTATATATCGAAGTTTAAGCTTTAATTTAGTACTTAATTTTCACGCACTGTATTGATAACACAGGTCTCTTGCATTCTGCAAAGAAGAATGCCGTGCAATGCAGATGCATTTTGATTAGACCAATCATTAATAAGTGAAGTGTCATCTTTGCTTACCCAAATTAAATGTCACAACTTTCATGACCGGAGATAACATTCGATCTATACATTGTAATATATATGATACAATATATCTACCATTTATTTACAATTTTCACACATTATTTATACCCAGTTAAATACAACTACAATAACATACAACTTAAATACAAATTTTATACAATATGTCTTTTGTATATTTTGTATCTGATTTATACATAGTAAAAACAAATTTCATACAATTAATTATATATTATACAACTTATCTACAATTTTCATTCATTATTTCTACTCAGTTATATACAACTACAATATCATACAACTTAAATATAATTTTTATACAATGTTGTTCAACTTTCATATAATAGTTAAATAAATAAAAGAAAAATATATAAACAATTTTACTACAATTTCGTAAATATGATGTATATCATGTCGTCTTCTTCTTCTTCTTCGATTTTCAATCTGAAATTCAGCCAAAACCACGTCTAATCTTTACCAAAACCCCTCAAAATTGAGATATAAACTCCAAACCATATTTCCAATTGTTTGCAACAACACCTAATCCAAACAAATAATGATTTTTGAAAATCCAAATTCGAATTCAAAGCTTCAAAGCTTTTTAATGGTTATCAAAGTGAATGCTGTCTGTATTTTTTTGTATCTTCCGAAAATTGTAGACTACTATTTGAAGTAGTTCATCCTGGATCATATGATGTTCTGACTTTTTTAAGTACCTTTGATTCGCAAAAACGCAAGTGATGACTGCACGAGAATTGTCTTCCTTCAAATGTTAACACAACTAATTGTGCACTAATTTTGGGTTAAGTAGATCTAAAGACAAATGCGTTTTTGCACTGAAAGCAAAGGTACAGATATTGCAGAACATAATAGAATCAAGATTGAGACATTCGCTCGGAGTGTAACATAAACAGAAGATACAAACATAAGAGATGCAACACTTAATGTTCTTCTACTTGATGTGACTTCTTCTGCTTTATGTAAATCTACTGCATTGCCTTGATTCAAACAAACTCCTTCCTTTTGACCTGGGCTTGACTTTGCTTATTCTGTCACATAAACAAAATATGAATTAGTCACATTTTTTAAAACTTCAGTTTAATTTAGGGGCTAACACCTTGATTAGTTTACAAAGACACAAGTCATAGCTGCACCAGAATTGTCTTCAGTTGAACAGAATTTGTCTCACGTCCTAATGCAACAAGTGCTTGCTGGAGATGACGCGACTCCTCTAGAAACTACAGCAACTATTTTGGGAGAGCAAGTGTAAAGACAGATCTCGTATAGCTATGACTTCTGTTTTTGAACTGAAATCAAGGTACAAAATGCAAAACACATATAGGATTAGCAATGCAACATAAACAGAAGCTACAAAACATAACACATGCAACACTTATAACTTTCTACTGGTACTGTGATGTTGGAGAAAAGCAAACTAGGCAACACAAAATTGCTTTCATGACTTATTGAATTGCTTCACAAGGCTAGGATTTATAGGCCTCAAAATTTTACAATAAAATAACAAACTCAACTTCAGTGACATATGCAGTGACATAATCATATGCTATCACAACATCTATATGGACACAGTGACAAAAGATACTCCTATTCATACGCTAGGAAATTCTGCTTTTATCTTTTTCCAATCATACAACAACAAACGCAGTATAATGTCACATGTGGAGTGTAGGGAGGTAGTGTGTACGCAGACCTTATCCAGAGAGGTTGTTTCCTATCTTTTTTCAATCATCTGAGTTTTTAATTGTACTTCTCATTAGATAAAAGCAAGATTATAGTATATGATTAGATTAATTGTATTTGTGTGGAAAAACAGTAAATGTAAGATTCAGATTAGGTTTTTGTGAATATTAGACCCATGTTACTTTGCGCACAGAACGGGTCATATAGTATTACTTAGTATAACTTTTAAGTAGTACTACGCCATTAAATAACAATGGATCATGTGCAACTTTTCTGCATTGGCTGGCTATCATTAAAACGAAATCAAAGAAGAGACTTTTTTTCTCAATTTCAAAGGAAAAAGTTACGACTTCATATCTGAGGTCCCTCGTTTAATCTTTCACCGAAAATGCAATTAGGATTTAGGACTAACAGTGCTCCATTACTTCAAATGAAATTTAGTCGCTAGTAGCAGATAGAATGTATATTTTTTTTATATATCTGTATAATATACATATTTTATAGACTTTTGGCTAGCAAATGCAATTAATTTCAGTCGGCGGGGCAATTTTGTAGTTTACCCTTACTTTGAGGATTGTTAGTGCTCCGCTTCATATTTAAAGCCTAAGGACCATTTTAATCCAGGAAAATTCAAAAATAGCCAGATTTACACGTGATCATTCAAAAATAGCCACAATTTCAAAAGTAATCGAAATTTAGCTACTTTTCATGTAAAGATAAATCTGAACGAAAACACTATTCAAAATCCGGAAAAATTCTCCAGTATAATATACTGGAACTCTAGTATATTATACTGGAACTTTCCGCGTGTTCGAGTTAAGCATATTATGCTGGAAGTTCATACACAGGTGCACCGATCTCCAGTATATTATGCTGGAACTTTCCGCGTGTTCGAGTTAAGCATATTATGCTGGAAGTTCATACACAAGTGCACCGATCTCCAGTATATTATGCTGGAACTTTCCGTGTTGCAGCAAAATAGTGGCTATTTTTCAATGACTTTGCAAATGCTGGCTATCTTTGAATGACCAGTCCGAAAACTGGCTAGCTCGTGCTATTTGGTAAAAATTGCACGGGCGCCCTATTTGGTCGCCCCCATTTAACCTATACCCATTTTTTTTAAAAGTTTTAACTTGTACCCACTTTTTGAACAACTTCAGCCCCCTTTCTCCTCCTCCTTCTCCTCCTTCGTTTTCTTCTTTTTCTTGTTCTTCTTCTTTCTTCTCCTGCTGCAATTTCTTATCAACATATCCATGTCTGCTACTTTATTTCTAGGTCCCAATTCTAATACACTGACCCTCTGTCCCCATTCCAGTGTTGTTATCAAACCCAAAACAGTTCTTCTTTTCAAATCATTCAATTTTAAGATTACCACTTTTTCCTCCAAACCCAATGATAATAATTATTCCAGCAAAAACTTGGAACAATGCAATCTTGAATTTGAAAATCAAGATTATGGGTCAATATCAAACCCTATTTCACGTTCAAGTTCAGGAATTCAAGTAAAGTTTCATTTCATTAATAATATAAAACTTCAGCTAAATCATGCTGAAGTTAAGCAAATAAAGAACAAAACTTCAACTACTAGAATGCTTAAGTTCAGCAATTACAAATAAAAACTTCAACCAACACTAAGTTTACGTGAAAAACTTCAGCTAAAACATGCTGAAGTTCAGCAATTAACAAACAAAAACTTCAGCAAATAGAGAACAAAATTTCAGCTACTAGAATGCTTAAGTTCAGCAATTACAACAAAAACCTCAGTAAATAGAGAACAAAACTTCAGCTACTAGAATGCTTAAGTTCAGCAATTACAAACAAAAACTTCAGTAAATAGAGAACAAAACTTCAGCTACTAAAATGCTTAAGTTCAGCAATTACAAACAAAAACTTCAGCAAATAGAGAACAAAACTTCAGCTACTAGAATGCTTAAGTTCAGTAATTACAAACAACAACTTCATCAAATAGAGAACAAAACTTCAGCTAACAAACAAAAACTTCAGCACACTTGGTTCAGCAATTTTTGCTACTTCAAGCCCATCTACTAGAATGCTGAAGTTTGCGTGATCGCCTTTGCTACTTCAGCCCCGTATGCTGAAGTTACGCGAAAAAGTGGGTACGCTTGCAATTTTTTTTGCAAAGCGGGTACAAGTTAAAACGTGACCCAAAAAGCGGGTATAAATGCAAATCCCCTGCTATTTTTACGGAATGATTTTGGATTTTTTTCTCTATTCCTGACTAATTGGGCCAACATTTCAAAGTTGTCCTTCCCTTCTATCGTTATATTATGCAAAATGGGCTATTTTATCAGTCTAAAATCTAAATTGGGCTACTGATTCCCGGATGGTATATGGGTATTTCTCTAAAACTGTTTACCCATGAGGTCATTTTGCCTCGCTGCCGTTATTTTGTCCATATGGCCAGAAATAGCTAAAACTAAGTAGAAATTTTTGTACTCAAATTATAGTGGGGGCATTATGAATATTACGTCTTTCATGATATGATAGTGGAAAATTTTATTGGGAGTATAGGTAGAACCGATGATTCCTACACATTTTTTAAGTTAATCAAAAAATAAAAGTAAAAAAGTTGATTTGAAACAAAGAGATTAACATTTATTTTCTTACTTCTGTGGTTGACAAACAAGTAATTACATTCTACTAAGAAAAAATATGTACTCCCTCCTGTCCACTTTAATCAATTTTTTTTGCTTTTTTCTTGTGGTCCATAATATTTGACTTTTTCAAATATCAAGAAGGAATTAATTTCTTTTTTTCAAAGTTGCTCTTGGAATAAAGACTCTAGGAGTATTTGTTATATTTCTAATGAATAAACTAAAGTTAATATGGTCATTTTTATTGTTAATTAATGACAAAAGATAAATTCCTTAATATATGAATTAAAAAAATAAAAAATCAATTAAAGTGGACCGGAGAAGTATCAAACACTTGCTAAAATAACTTTTCGGACCGCATTTTACTCTTAAAGTGAGTTAAAATTGTATGGCGTAGCCAGTTTTACAGTTGGCTATCGAAAAATAGCCACCGATCTAAATGTAATCGATTTCTAGCCATTTTAACTTAAAATATATTAGTGATGACATAATTGCCATTGACCTTTTTAACATACTAGTTAGTAACTTTTTATCGCCTTTCTCTTTGTTTTTACAGCAGTGTACGGATTTCGCTTTCCTGAGAGAGCACTTTTCTGTTAAAATATCATGGTATAGCCAGTTTTCACACTGGTCAATGAAAAATAGCCAGCGTTTATCAAGTCAATGAAAAATAGCCACTATTTTGCTGCAACAGGGACCGGTCCAGTATAATATACGGGAGTTCTGGTGCATTTGTGTACGAACTCCAGCATATTATGCTGGACCGGTATACTTTGCTAACTCCTGTAAAATTTGCGGGAGACTGGAGCACCAGTGCTCCAAACTCCAGTATATTATACTGGACAATTATACTTGCTGGAACTCCCGTGAAATTTGCGGGAGTTCCAGCATAGTTATCCTGGAACTCCCGTAAAATTTACGGGAGTTCAAGCATACTTATGCTGGAACTCCCGTAAAATTTGCGGGCGTATTTTTCCGGATTTTGAACAGTGTTTTCGCTCAGATTTAAAGTGGCTAAATTTCGATGACTTTTGAAACTTGGCTATTTTTCAACGAACAGTGGTAAATCTGGCTATTTTTGAATTTCTCCCCACTTTTCTTCAAATCTTGTCTGGGTTAGGTCCAATTTTATTCAAAATTATGGGTGAGTTTTGTTTTTTACGATAATGTGTTTGAATTTTCGTTATTATTGTTGGTTCTTTAGGTTTAATTTTGATTTCCGGACCGTTAGGGTTTGAATATTTATTGTATTTTAACTTTTACGATTTTTTCTGTGTTCATTAGTTTGTCTTATTTCTGGTAATTTTTCACTGTTATTAGTTTATGTTGTAATCGTTGTGTAATTTGTTTTTGTAAGTTTTTCAAATTTTTTCTAGTCTCTGTATGTTAGGTTTAATTTTCAAGTATTTTCTTGCTTCATCTGCATTTTAGATTTCTTCAGTTCTTGTTAAAATTTGATATAGTTGTGAGTTTTGTTTCATTCCATTATATTTTACGGGACGTCTGCTGTGTGCGAATAGTAGACGTCTACTGTGTGTGTTTTGATTATGTTTTTTGTTTATTAAATTTAGTAAAATTTTGTCCAGTATATTATACTGGAAGTCTGTCATGTGAATGTTTATCTTCCAGTATGTTGTACTGGATGAATATGATAATATAGTTGAGTTTTGTTTCATCCAGTATATTTTACGGGACGTTTGCTGTGTGTAAGTTTTTCTCCAGTATATTATACTGGATGAGTTCTGTTTAGACTACAATTTTATTTTATGTCATTACTTTTTTTGAGTGATTATTTGTCTTCTTTTTTATAATGGAGAAGTCCCGTAAAATATACTGGAATCAAACAAAACTGAACTATGTTATAATATTCATCCAGTATAATATACTGCTGTGTGCGAATAGTAGACGTCTATTGTGTGGGTTTTGATTATATTTTTTGTTTATTAAATTTATTAAAATTTTGTCAAGTATATTATACTGGAAGTCTGTCATGTGAATGTTTATCTTCCAGTATGTTATACTAGATGGATATTATAATATAGTTGAGTTTTGTTTCATCCCAGTATATTTTACGGGACGTCTGCTGTGTGTAAGCTTTTTCTCCAGTATATTATATTGGATGAGTTCTGTTTAGACTAAGATTTTATTTTATTTG